AATGTAGCACTTGGCAGATGCACATGTTATCTGCTTCCAGCAACACGCACTTAATACTTTGGAAGACTGCATGGGAGCATGTCTAGGGTGGCTGAAAACCTCCCCTCCTGTCCAGATGCGAATGTATGTTGGATGGACACATTTGCAGGACCATAAACTATGCTTAAGGTCCGAGATGTTGCAGGGCTGTCTTACTTAACACTCTGCAACGTCGCTTGGAGGCTGAGGACAGTGTCTCTGAATTGATAGACTGGGATTGTGGCCAACTTCTTCAGGAAGGGGTTAGGGTTAAATTGAGATGAATCGCCAATTATTATGGGCCATTTGGTCCTTGTCCATCTATAGTGACAGCTTGGTTTTCATTGCTGGCAGTACGTCAGACCTGTTTTCTGTGAGAGTTGGAGTTCACCAGGGCTCCTTTTGTCACTGTTCATACGTGTCCAGTTGCAGCAAAGTGGCAGATGGTCTCTGGCAGGATCAGACTTGTCAGTCTATATGGTTCTTCTGACCTCATCGGGAGGTGACATCCAGCGTGCACTAGGATGATTTGCAGAGTGGCTGAAAAAGGCTGGATTGCCCACTCTGGGAGGAGTAGATGGCCCAAATGGAGGAGTTCGGGATTTTTTGGGTCTTGTTCATGAGTGAAGTGAGAGTGGAGCCGACACTGACAGACAGGAACGGTAGAGTATCAGTGGTGTGGCAGACAGCTATTGATGACCTATGGTCACATGAGGTCTTAGGTGCAAGTAGTGAAAATGAACTTCCTCCTCATCCGAGAGGATGATGAGTTCAGTCATTTGGGAGGAGCTCAGGGTAGAGCTGTTCCTGCTCCACATCGAAAGGAGCTAGTTGATGTGGTCTGAGCATCTGACAAGAGTGCCCCCTCATCGTCACCCAGGTGAGACATTCAGGGGCATGTCCTACCAGGAAGAGTCCACAGAGCAGACCCCTGACATGCTGGAGAGGTTATACCTCTTGTTTGGTTTGGGAACTAGTCTCCCTGAATGAGCTGGAGGTGCCCCTGATATTCAGAGCCAAATAAGGGGGAGAAAATGCAGCGGTGACAATGACATACTGTATACAAATCGTTACCTAATAGTTAAAACATGCAGCTGCTGATTATGTGATTCTACTTTCTAAACCAGAAAACAGCTGAGGTAAAAGACCCAGCTGTACAGTGAAATTGTGTCAAGTGTTGTAGTAGGATGGAGGATCCGTCTGTTACAGACAGAAATAAATGACAATAACAAAGATCACAGCATTCATTCACTGGTGTAAGGACAGCTTTTAGTTTTACAAAAGGACCTGAAATGGGTGCATCAGAATAATAACCTTCTAAATAAATAGGTTTGTTTTTTTAACACATACATTTACATTTTTAAATTACAGTATTACCTAATTTCATTAAAATTACTTTAACATTTG